TCTTTGTTCGTGGAAGATCATCAGCGGGAGATTATTTAACCCCCCCCCCCCCTCATTTGATCTTTAATCCGCCCCCCTTCCCCCGCTCACGGCATATCTTCGGCGGAGAATCGTTTGCGTACTATCCTCAGGACTTTGTTCGCGTAAGATCATATCAGAGGGAGATCGTTCGCGATCCGAGCGAGACGAAAAGGCAATTTTCATATCATCATTGGGAGATCGTCCGCGATGTAAGCAAGAATGAAATGCAATTTTCATATTAGTTCAAGGAATTTAGGGAACTTCGTTCGCGGAAGATCGTCAGCGGGAGATCATTCGCGATCATTGCTAGACGAAAAGGCAATTTTCACATCTTCATCGGGAGATTGTTCGCGATGTAAGCAATAAAAAAATGCAGTTTTCATATTAGTTCAAGGAACTTAAATTGCGGAAGATCGTCAACGGGAGATCATTATTTTAACTCCCTGTAAATTTTTAGGAAGTTACAGATGATAACTTTAGAAGGCCTGACACTCAATCCTGGGAAAAGCCCTGCATGCAACAAACCTTCCCAAGTGTGTAATTTTTTTAAACATGTCGCGTCCAGGTTATGATGCAAGGTTGCAATAAGGCTTATCTTGATCCTTCTCCTCTATCAGGAGGTATGTTTCTTACCGAGAAAATAATTCTCAACGTGTTTTCGGGTACAGTAAGTTAAATATAACTTAATCGAGATGCACTAATAAATAGATTATTATTTACCACCAGAAAATGACTTAGGAAGTAGTAAAAAATATCCCACCATATAGGAGGGTCAAAGATAACAGTCACTAAGGATAAAAGCCCAAAGGCCGGATTTTTGAAAATTTCGTCATGCGGGGAGAGGTAATTTTGAAAAATTAGTCGGATTTACACAATTAAAAATATTAATTGATTTTTAAGCGACGAAATTTTCAAGACTTTACCGTAATGCGCCCCACCAAAATAAACGCTGCTGGGTGCCACCGTGGGTGGTGGAAAAGAAAAAAGTGGAAAAGTAAAAAAGCAGCAGAAATGAGGATGTGACACGATTAACAGATGAATAATGAGAAGCATAAAAATTGGCAAGCTTACCTGATTTTACTTGTGTCAAACATGTAAGAAAAATCACTTAAGAATTTCATCCCTGTCCATCAGCAAGGAAGAGACAGGATCTTGATGCCTGACCATGTGTTAACACAATAATAATTAATTGGCAAGTCTTGCTTCTGATTGGTTGTGGGCCTTAAGTGTCCAAAGGTCTTCTACTGGTCATTGCTATATTTGCGAAGAGATGTGTAGAAGAAATACCCCATAGACTCCCAAAAGTAAATCCTTTATTGTGAAATCAGTTATACAGTAATCTTGTATTTTTCTCAGTGAAAAATTCAGTTTGGTTGAAAATCCTTGATAAAAACCTATAATTCAATCAGTTAGTCAGTTATATATTTTCGCAGACCTAGTTGTTTAAAATATTATACATATCCCATATAAACCTTCTAGCTACCCACATTTCATTGAAATTATTTTTCAATGAATATCATGTTTTATTATGGTTCAAGAGGTAAAACAGGTAAAAGATTAATAAAAAAAATAAATAAGAACAGCAAACAGTTGTATATATACTTTAAAAAAGTTGAAAAGCATTACGTGAAATATTTCTGTGGGTTTTTGATGTACTTAGATGGTAAACTAAGAGGTAGCTTCCCTTCCAAAGGTCCCAGCTGAACATACTGTTTCTCCAGTTTGAAGATGGGGATTGTAAGCTTTCTTATAATACCAGCGCGACTGATTTGGTAGACATCTTTGTAGGGGTATTTCAACATGGCTGCTTGCTGGCTAAACCCACTTGGGCTATGGATTAGAATATCACATTTTGAAAGCATGAGGAAATCTGTTAAAGCTTTTTCCATGTCTCTGCATCCTGCTTTTGGCTCATCGACGTGACTCAGAGGACCTTCTATGTCCACCAATTGGTCAGGGAATAACATCTTGGCTGCTGTTCTTACATCTTCTGCATCAGTGGATACAAATAGTTTACTTTTTCCAACACGTTTGATGGTCTCTTGGAGAAATTTAAAAACAATTTTCATTCGTGAAGGTTTAATGAATTCCAGACGAATCTGAGCACAGACAAGGGTAGAGTCATTTGAGGGTTTTAAAAGATGGTAATATTTTTGAAATTTCTTTTGGAATCGTTTGTTGGGACTGAAAAGCTCATGAAAGAGACGTCTGAACAGAGTGACATAATGGAAGTCCTCGATTGGCATGTTGAAGGCTTTTTCAATAGTTTTTGTGAAATTTTTGTTAAACCTTAAATAAGGTATGATATCGTCATTAGTGCGGAAAGTGATGATGTCTTCTGGAAAAGTCTCTGAGAGATTAGAACTCTGAAGAACCCAGTTCTGAAATGTTAATTTGAAACCAAAAAGCTTGATATCTCTGGTTGTAGCATGTTTTGCTGTTATGTCTTCTTTGTCCCATGGAGTTTTATTCCCATGAAAGAACTTTTTTAGGTTACAAGGAAAAGTATGTGAAATCCTGTATTCTCTCCCTGTTAAAATGGCAAGTGCGTAGACTGAGATGATACCACGCAATCGATCTCCCCATCCCATGCAGTGATGGTGACACTGCCAAATGGCATATTGACATTTTGTCTTTGAGCAGTCACGTCTTTTTACATTAAGTGTAACATTACTTCCACTTCTACCTATTTGAGTTTGACTTGAATGTCTCTTGTTGTCCTGTTTTAATGGGAAGGTGATCGTCTGCCGTATTATGGCGGTGGTGGTTTGGTGTTCGTCATGCTCGCTATCACCTTGTTTTCCCTGCTTACTATTGAATGATGAGTTATCATCATAACGGCGATGTTTTGTATCCATTCTTTTCATCTGGATTTTCTTGATGATCTTCTTACCTGTTTTATCTTTGCCACTTTCACCCAACTTTTCCTGGCTGCCTTGGGTTGAAGGATCATTTTTCACATTCAACCTCCCCATACCAGTGGCATCACGCAGGATGTTTTTAATGCCAAGTAACTTGGTGCGTTTGCTAGCTGTGAGTGCTGCTTGAAAAGATAAGGGATTCCTTGTTGACAGAGACATGCCGCACAAGTAGCTGACATAGCTGGCGAGAATCCCAATGCATGACAGAAATAAAAGGAAAAGAAAGCAGTGCTTGTACTTCTGAATATGTCCCTTTTGCTGGACTTCTGACATGATTCATCTGGTGAAAGCAACGACTGCTTCAGTTTTCTCTCCTACCAGCATTCCCATAAAATATGTCAGAACTATAATGTGAGATTGTGCATAATCTTTCCCTGTTTCTGAATAATTTTTAAAAGAATTAACATGCTTGCATGAAATATAACAGGTAATTTGTGATTTTCATACCATGGCCTTTTGGGATTTTTATTCCGTAGCTGGAAAAGGGAATGGATTACAGCTTTGCTAAGTTATTAGTAAGATTAAATGTGTACTCTGTTAACTGAAAAGTTAATTCTATGTCTGATGTCTTGAGTTGGTGTGGAAAAAGTATTTAATTCCCAGCCTGAAACAGGGTGATCTTATGGTGCCGGGGAGGGGTGGGGGTGAGGAGGGGTGGGGAGGGGTGGGGGTCGGGAGGGGTGGGGAGGGGTGGGGGTCGGGAGGGGTGGGGGTTGGGGGAGGGTGGAGGGTGCAGGAAGGAATGCATTTTTTCCAGTGTATTTTAAAAGTGAAGTTTTAACCTTGGTTAGTTTTAGCAACACACTTCAGCAGATTTGTCAATATTGTTTGGTACTAGTATGTGTTCACAGTATTGACATGCACACTTACATACATGCTTTACATACATTCACTTATGCATACATACATTCCAACTTGGCTGCATACGTAATGCTTGTCATATACAGTATCAGCCACCATAAATTGCTCCAACACATATATTACAACAACCACATTAAATCCATCACATATATTACAACAACCACATTAAATCCAGCACTGAAATACAACAACCACAATGAAAACTAACCTGGCACATAAATGCAGCAAGCACATGAAAAGAAAAATAATCTAACCATGGAATGACACAAAACATCTAATGAGGAAATCCATTCACCTTTAGTGATAATTTGATGATAATTTTGGTGATTGCTTATTTGTTTCACTTTCAATTGTCAGTTGAAAATGATAAGTTTAAGGGGGGATAAATGTATAATTAGGAGGCAGTTTTATAATAGTGAAATGTCCCATTTAAAATGTATAAAATCAGCGCATCTCCTGACTCATCTAAAAAATTAAGAAAATATGAAAAAAAAAAAACTAAAACAAAAACAAAAAAACAAACAGTTATAAATGCTTGGATGCTGATCTCTAGAGTCTACATACTATTGAAAACAACATGTCTGGGCTGGAATAATTCAAAGAGTTTAGCAGCACTATGTGAAATATTTTTGGGGATTTTTGATGTACCTAGATGGTAAACTAGGAGGCTGCTCCCCTCCAAGAGGTCCCAACTCTTCATATAGATTCTCTAGTCTAAAGATGGGAATTGTTAGCTTCGTAATAACACCAGCGTAGTTGATTTGGTAGACATCTTTGTAGGGGTATTTCAACATGGCCGCTTGCTGGCCAAACCCACTTGGGCTATGGATTAAAATGTCACATTTTGAAAGCATGAGGAAATCTGTTAAAGCTTTTTCCATGTCTCTGCATCCTGATCCTGGCTTATCAACGTGACCAAGAGGACCTTCTATGTCCACCAATTGGTCAGGAAATAATGTCTTGGCTGCTGATCTTACATTCTCTGCATCAGTGGATACAAGTAGTTTACATTTTCCAACACGTTTGATGGTCTCTTGGAGAAATTTAAAAACGTTTTTCATTCCTGACACTTTAATGAATTGTAGACGAATCTGAGCACAGACAAGGGTAGAGTCATTTGAGGGTTTTAAAAGCTGGTAATATTTTTGAAATTTCTCTTCAAATTGTTTGTTGGGACTGAAAAAGCTCATGAAAGAGACGTCTGAACAGTGTAACATAATGGAAGTCATCAATCGGCATGCTGAAGGCTTTTTCAATAGTTTTTGTGAAATTTTTGTTAAACCTTAAATAAGGTATGATATCGTCATTAGTGCGGAAAGTGATGATGTCTTCTGGAAAAGTCTCTGAGAGGTTAGAACTCTGAAGAACCCAGCTCCCAAATGTTGGAAGGAAACCAAAAAGTTTGATATTTCTTTTGGTTGCATGTTCTGCTGTTATTACTTTTTCGTCCCATGGAGTTTTATTTCCATGAAAGAACTCTTTTAGGTTACAAGGAAAAGTATGTGAAATCCTGTATTCTCTCCCTGTTAAAATGGCAAATGCGTAGACTGAGATAATGCCACGCAATCGATCTCCCCATCCCATGCAGTGATGTTGACACTGCCAAATGGCATATTGACATTTTGTCTTTGAGCAGTCACGTCTTCTCACATCAAGTGTAAAATTTCTTCCACTTCTACCTATTTGAGTTTGGTTTGCTTGTCTCTTGTTTTCCTGTTTTGATATGAAGGCAGTTGTCTGTTGTATTTTGGCAGTAGTAGTTTGGTGTCCATCATGTCCTTTAGCACTCTTAGTTTCTGGGCGAGCTTCGAATGATGAATTATCATGGCCCTCTCCTGTTTCCATTCTTTTCATCTGCATTTTCTCACTGCGTTTCATGCTCTTTTCTTCCCTGCCATTTTCATCCAGTTTGTCCAGGCTATCTTTGTTTAAAGTATCTTTTTTTATATTAAAACTTCCAGTATCTTTAGCTTTCATCTCCAATTTCGTATTACTTTTCAGGCTGTTTTCTTCCTTGCCACTTTCACCCAACTTTTCCTGGCTACCTTGGGTTGAAATATTGTTTTTCACCTTCAAACTCCCTGTACTGGTAGCTCCAGTTGGGTCAATTTTACTGCTGGTTAGCACCGTGTGTTTCCTTGTTGTGAATGCTGCGTGGAAAGAAAATGGATTTGTTGTTGACGGAGACAAGTAGCACAAGTAGCTGACGTAACTGGCGAGAATTCCAATGCATGACAGAAATAAAAGGAAAAGAAAGCACTGCTTGTAGCCCTGAATTCGGCCTGTTTGCTCTGTTTCCGACATGATTCATCTGAGGACTGCAGCCTTTCCTTCTTCATGAATTAATCCTCTGCTTCAGTTTCATATTTGTACCAGCATATCCATAGAGTTATTACGAAAAAAAAATTCTGATTGTGGTTAAACCATACCTTTTTCTGCTCTATTATTTATTTGGCAAGCATGAAACTATATGCCACATACTTTCCTGTGGTATTCAGAACAGAGCATTGTTGGTGTTTCATGCTGTGGCTAGAAAACTTAAGATGATCGATTGCAATATGTTATACATACTGTTGGTGGGATTATAAAATATTATATAATTATGTATATGTTCCCCAGTTGACTTTCTTGACCATGCCTGGGAGGGGAGCTGGGGGGGAGCTAGGGGAAGGAATACATTTGTCCACTGTATCAATGTTTTAACTTTGATTTTAATAGCACCAAACTTCAGCAGTTCTATCAACATTATTTTAGTGGTATATGTATGTGCACACACACACACACACACACACATGCCTGAATACATTCCAACTTGGCTGCATATTACATATTGTATCAGTTCAACCACAATAGAAAGTTACCCATCACATACAATACACAACCATAATGAGAACTTACCCATCACATAATATACAACAACCACAGTGTTAAGTTACTCATCACAAATAATACAACAATCACAAATAAATAAGTTCAACAATTGTATTGTGTCAGTTAAAATTTATTCATCATATACAATATATATATATATATATATATATATATATATATATATATATATATATATATATATAAACCACAATTAAGTTACCCATCACATATTATACAACATCCACAATGAATTTATGTAGACCATCATTTACCATATATATATATATATATATATATTTACCATATATTTACCATATATCATTTACCATATATATATAGGTACCAGGAAGCACCACCCACTTCTTCCCCTGCCTCTGTGCTGTGTCCTGGCTTAAAGTCTAATAACATTTAATACCAGTTGTAGCAAATTACAGAAACACAATAGAAAAGTGGCTAAGCTTGGCCGAAATGGCCACCCCCTTTGCAATCAGCTCTATTGTGTTCCACATAATGGTGTGTATGAGTGAGTATATAATAATTTCTTACACAAAGGTTGGTGATTTCTAAAGAGATATCTGTTTACCTCGGAACTCTTCAGAACTCTTAGAACTCTGGAGAATCCATCTCCCAAATGGAAGGAAACCAAAAAGTTTGATATTTCTTTTGGTTGCATGTTCTGCTGCTATTAATTTTTCATCCCACAAAGTTTTATTTCCATGAAAGAACTCTTTTAGGTTACAAGGAAAAGTATGTGAAATCCTGTATTCTCTCCCTGTTAAAATGGCAAATGCATAGATGTCACGCAATCGATCTCTTTTTTTTTGCTTCTGAATATATATATATATTTATTTTATATGCTTGCATGAACATGTAAAACAGATGTACAGAATCTATAGCTATATTCAGACCATGGCCTGTTGGGGTTTTCATTCTGTAGCTGTAAAAGAGGATGGTATACAATTTGTTAAGTTGTTGGTTAGATTAAATATAAATCTGTCAATTTGCAAAATTAATTCTATATCTTATGTCCTGAGTTGGTGTTGACAAAGTATTTAATTCACGTCCTGATCCAGGGTGTTCTTACGGTACCTGGGGGTGGGGTGGGGGAGTTGTAAGGGAGGGGTACGGGAATGTTGGGAGAGGGTGGAGGTTAGCGAAAGGAATGCATTTTTTTCAGTGTATTTTAAAATTAAACTCTGAACCTTGGTTATTTTAGCAACACACTTCAGCAGATTTGTCAATATTGTTTTGTATATTTAAGGTTAGAGGTATATGTATAAGTGCGTACATACATACGCTATACATACATTCACTTATGCATACATATACATTCCAACTTGGCTGCATATGTAATGCATGTCACATACAGTACATCAACCACCATAAATAACTCCAATACATATATTACAACAACCATATTAAATCCATCACTGAAATACAACAACCACAATGAAAAGTTATCCACCACTTGTAATGCAGCAAGCACATGAAAAGAAAAATAATCTAACCATGGAATGACACAAAACATCTAGTGATGAAGTTTGTTCACCTTTGGTGATAACTTGATGATAATTTTGGTGTATATCAGAACCTTAAATTGATTTGCATTATTCCGCTACTTCAGTTTGTTGCTTTCACCTCTATGAAATTTTGCTTCCAATGGAATGAACAAGAGGTGTGATTGCTTATTTGTTTCACTTTCAATTGTCAGTTGAAAATGATAAGTTTAAGGGGGGATAAATGTATAATTAGGAGGCAGTTTTATAATAGTGAAATGTCCCATTAAAAATGTATTAAATCAGCGCACCTCCTGGCTCATCTAAAAAATTAAGAAAATATGAAAATCAAACAAACAAACAAAAAAACTGTTATAAATGCTTGGATGCTGCACACTAGAATCTACATACTATTGAAAACAACATGTCTGGGCTGGAATAATTCAAAGAGTTGAACAGCACTATGTGAAATATTTCTGGGGATTTTTGATGTACCTAGATGGTAAACTAGGAGGCTGCTCCCCTCCAAGAGGTCCCAACTCTTCATATAGATTCTCTAGTTTAAAGATGGGAATTGTAAGGTTCGTAATAACACCAGCGTAGTTGATTTGGTAGACATCTTTGTAGGGGTATTTCAACATGGCTGCTTGCTGGCCAAACCCACTTGGGCTATGGATTAAAATATCACATTTTGAAAGCATGAGGAAATCTGTTAGAGCTTTTTCCATGTCTCTGCATCCTGATCCTGGCTTATCAACGTGACCAAGAGGACCTTCAATGTCCACCAGTTGTTCAGGAAATAACGTCTTGGCTGCTGATCTTACATTCTCTGCATCAGTGGATACAAGTAGTTTACTTTTTCCAACACGTTTGATGGTCTCTTGGAGAAATTTAAAAACGTTTTTCATTCCTGACACTTTAATGAATTGTAGACGAATCTGAGCACAGACAAGGGTAGAGTCATTTGAGGGTTTTAAAAGCTGGTAATATTTTTGAAATTTCTCTTCAAATTGTTTGTTGGGACTGAAAAGCTCATGAAAGAGACGTCTGAACAGTGTAACATAATGGAAGTCATCAATTGGCATGCTGAAGGCTTTTTCAATAGTTTTTGTGAAATTTTTGTTAAACCTTAAATAAGGTATGATATCGTTATTAGTGCGGAAAGTGATGATGTCTTCTGGAAAAGTCTCTGAGAGGTTAGAACTCTGAAGAACCCAGCTCCCAAATGTTGGAAGGAAACCAAAAAGTTTGATATTTCTTTTGGTTGCATGTTCTGCTGTTATTACTTTTTCGTCCCACAGAGTTTTATTTCCATGAAAGAACTCTTTTAGGTTACAAGGAAAAGTATGTGAAATCCTGTATTCTCTCCCTGTTAAAATGGCAAACGCGTAGACTGAGATAATGCCACGCAATCGATCTCCCCATCCCATGCATTGATGGTGACACTGCCAAATGACATATTGACATTTTGTCTTTGAGCAGTCACGTCTTCTCACATCAAGCATAACATTACTTCCACTTCTACCTATTTGAGTTTGGTTTGCTTGTCTCTTGTTGTCCTGTTTTGATATGAAGGCAGTTGTCTGTTGTATTTTGGCAGTAGTAGTTTGGTTTCCATGATGTCCTTTAGCACCCTGGGTTTCCTGGTGAGCTTCGAATGATGAATTATCATGGCCCTCTCCTGTTTCACTTTTTTTCGTCTGCATTTTCTTACTGCTTTCTGTGCTCTTTTCTTCCCTGCCATTTTCATCCGGTTTGTCCAGGCTATCTTTGTTTAAAGGATTCATTTTTATATTAAAACTTCCAGTATCTTTAGCTCTCATCTCCAATTTCTTATTACTCTTCAAGTTCTTTTCCTCCTCACCACTTTTACCCAACTTTTCCTGACTACCTTGGGTTGAAATATTGTCTTTCACCTTCAAACTCCCTGTACTGGTAGCTCCAGTTGGGTCAATTTTACTGCTGGTTAGCACCGTGTGTTTCCTTGTTGTGAATGCTGCGTGGAAAGACAATGGATTTGTTGTTGACGGAGACAAGTAGCCGACATAGCTGGTGAGAATTCCAATGCATGACAGAAATAAAAGGAAAAGAAAGCACTTCTTGTAGCCCTGAATTCGGCCTGTTTGCTCCTTTTCCAACATGATTCATCTGAGGACTGCAGCCGTTTCTTCTTCAGGAATAAATCATTTGCTTCATTTTCGTACTTGTACCAGCATATCCATAGAGTTATCACGAAGAAAAAGTCTGATTGTAGTTATAAACAGTACCCTTTTTCTGCTCTATTATTTATTTGACAATTATGTAACAATATGCCACATACATTGTACTTCCCTGTGATATTAAGGCTTCGTTCACATGCAATGTCTATTTTCTAAATTCTATTTTCTATTTGCGGCATGTCTTATGATCACAGTCTGTGCACTGAATATCCCGCTGCGTAATTACTGGCAGCGCGAGCCAGTTACTATAAGTTACTATAAGTAACTGGCTCGCGCTGCCAGTAATTACGCGGCGGGATAGCGCGAATAGAAAATAGAATTTAGAAAATAGACATTGCATGTGAACGAAGCCTTAATGTTTCCCTTCACATACATTATACAACAACTACAATGAACAGGTTCCCTTCACATATATTATACAACAACCACAAATTTATGTAGCCCATCATATACAGTACAACAACCACAATAAAAAGTTTTATCTACTTCATACAATACAACAACCACAATAGAAAGTTATCCATCATATAATTGTATACAGTACAACCACCACAATACATACCAAGGCGGACAGAGTGCTATCCTGCGACGGCAGGAAGCCGTGTGCTGGAGATTTATACATATACTAACCTTGGAGCAAGTTGTGTTCCATTTAATTAAATGTAAGGTACCAGGAAGCACCACCCCCTTCTTCCCCTGCCACTGTGCTGTATCCTGGCTTAAAGTCTAATAACATTTAATACCAGTTGTAGCAAATTACAGAAACACAATAGAAAAGTGGCTAAGCTTGGCCGAAATGGCCACCCCCTTTCCAATCAGCTCTATTGTGTAGCGCATAATGGTGTGTATGAGTGAGTATATAATAATTTCTTACACAAAGGTTGGTGATTTCTAAAGAGATATCTGTTTACCTCAGGTCAGATTTTTCTATTATATATTTAAGTTGCTTACCACCAAACTTGCGGCATTTTAAGGACAGGATTGTAAATGACAACTAGGGCTGCGTGTATGTGACTTGTAGATAGATGTTTTAGAGAAAAAAGACTGCTACACAGATCTGTTATAGTAGAAAATTTACATGTGAGGTTGTTTGTCAAACCGCAAAAATATTTTTACATAGAACTTTTCATTTAAGGACAATGGTAGACTCATGGCCTCAGTGGATATATGTGTAAACAAAGGAAAGTTGTTTTGGAAACTGAGAAGTATAATACCCACTGGTCATTTTAGGGAGGGCAGCTGAGACATTATATGATCAGTACAGTACTATTCGTATTCGTTAAATCTGGAAAATACAGACAAGATATCAGTTTCTAAAAAGAAAAAGAAATAAAGGAGGAAAAATATTAGGAAAAGGCACCAAAAATCAATTCTTTAAGACAAAAATTGCACCTGTGGAGGATTCCTGTTTGTATAAAGTCTGGTTAAAGTCAACAGCAGGCTGTGCAGCAGGATACAAAACATAGAAGTCTTGTTAGGATTACCTAAGAGAAGTTTTGTCAAGGCAAAGAGTATGTACACTAGAGCAAGGTGCCAGCAAACTATATAAGTAAGTGTCATGCAAGGTAATATACACACAAAAAAACACCTCTTTTTCCTCAATTGTCTGTATGCTGGTGATTTAGTGTAGCCACTCGACTGGCAATTCACAGGAAGGCAGATACAATCCTAATTGCTTTTATCTCACGACAAATCTCAGACTTCTGGGGTAGATCGTTGCTGGGCTGACTCAGTAAGAAGTCTCTGTTTATATCTGATGGTATATTAGTGAGAGAGCAGACGCACTGGTGGACACTTGTTTGGCTGCAGCAGGCACAGAAGTTGACCAGTAGTGGACAGCACTTGCTGTGACTGGATTTAGGGCAGACTGACCTGCTACTGACCATATACCGCTGACCTGAGAGTGGACAGCTGGACACAGAGAGAGAGGACAGAGTCAAGGTGCTGTAACCAGTGGATCAGCACACCTGTAACTGAGCCATTCACTTTCCATATGTGTATAAGGAACTTTTACTTGGCTGGTTCTCTGTAGCTGTCATCACTTGTGGGACTTCACACACGCTGTGTCTTTGGGTTGTCTGTTAAGAGGTCTCGGTGGCAGGCGCCTTTGTTTATTACACCTGTGCGTTTTTCCCCAGAGCAATAAGTTCCTTTGATATGGCCGTGGCAACAAAGAAAGCAGTGATGGCATTTTTGATGCTTACGTTTGTTGCAGGTAGGTGGTGATAAGATTTACACATGCACGCACGCACACACATACATACATCCACACACACACACACACACACACATACACACACACAAAATTATGTATACATGTAGTAATTCTTTATGAAAGTTAATGAAAGCAAGTTTAATGTTGTGGTCAGATATGATAAACTTTATTGGGAAGGAATCTATGGAAAGATTATAGGTATACAGGTACAGGCTTGTAGCCAGCAATTTTAAAAGAGAGGTTCTTTTTATTTCTGAAAAAAAAAGTGGACCCTGTGGGCCTTTTACCACAAAAGCTTCGTGTACCTAGATCAAATTTTACCCACAGTGGACATTCTCTCAGAAAAAAGTGCAGCTATATCCCCTGATCCCCTGGGTATTACCTTGATTTGTCTTCCTTTTCTGTTGTTAAATTGAAATTCATACATTTTGAAAGACTTTTTATGGTTTAGGCCCAGCAGTGTTCAGCAATTTGATGTCCCTCTCAGATACCTCATATACAGTATCATAATTATATCATTGTCTTCTTTAAGGATCGTGATTTTAATGAAATTGCATGACAGGCTTTTGGAATTTTAAGATTCTCCAGGATAAAAGTACAGGTGGTGTCCTGGCCTCTATATATGTATATACTCTATAAGTTTGAATATATCGCAGAACAGGGCAGGGAAGTCGTTTTGTTTAATTTAAGGCTAAAGGCCATTCTATTTCCAAGTCCTATCCAAATGATTGTTACGGATCCCCTTGACCTGAGCCATCACACTATGACACCATTCACATCGAGAAGAGCCGAGTTCTAGCAAGGCCGAGACCTAAATATGGTGGACTTTGAGAGACTATTAAAGGATTCATTCATTCATTAAAAGGAGACTATTAAAGGATTACGCCGTCTTCCTTTCATGTAGGTCTGCCATATTTAGGTCTCGGCCTTGCTAGACTTTGGCTCTTCTCGATGTGAATGCTCTCTATAGCTGTTGTTCTATAGTGATGGTAGCAATTAAATCACAGTTTACTCTTCAAGCCATCAGCGAAAATTTAAAGAAGGGAAAGAAAAGAAAGAAAAAAAAGGAAGACAATTCATTATAATTGTTTCCCTGAAGGTATTTTTTTGTGCTAGTTACTCAGAACTGTGAATCACAGGGGCTGACGTCAGTGTGTTGACAAAGCATGATGCTTACACACAGTTTCTATAGTTCCTCTAAATGATTTCTCCTGTCAAGAAAAATAAGCCAACCATGGAATGATATATATACAGCATAGTGAAGGAGTTCTTCCACCTTTGGTGATAACTTGATGATAATTTTGGTCTTCATCAAAAACTTTAATGTATTAGCTGAGGGCTATTTCAATTAAATATTTTATTAGCACCTTTGTCTATTATAATTTACATGTCATTGTAGCGATTGAATGAAATACATGGTGGTTTATTAGTTTTGCTGTCAATGATCTGTTGCAAAAGTTTAACTAGGAAAAAATTTCCAAAGTTCAGAGACAGAAAATAAATGTGGATACATATGTCCCTTTAAACTTTCATGAAATCAGTGCATATCTATCCAAAGTCATTTCATTTCACACTGAGACTGGTTAAGTTTTTCTGTGCAGGCCCGTAGCCAGCAATTTCAAAAGAGGGGTTCTTTTTCTGAAAAAGTGGACCTTTATCATGAAACCTAAGTTTATACCTATATAAAATTTTACCCAGAGGGGACCTTTTCCCAACAACCCCCCCCCCCCCCCCCAGTATATATTTGTATGTAGGAAAGGAATTTTATCTCTGTAGGAAAAGCATACGAATAAACTTGAATAATATATGACTGTGGTTCATATTTGGTTTACCTTGCGTTTATGTAAACCAGGTTTAATATGAACAATGTTGGTATTTTGATCCTTTTTTATCTGTGATATGGCAGTATAATTACAATTCATAATGTATACAGCTCAGAGGAGCTCATAAAATTATATTTGAAATCTCTTTAGACATGCGACCTATTATGTTACGCACTCATGTAAGATAAATATACTGTGCTCATGTATATAGAACAACACAGACCATTGTTAATAAGTATGAGTAATTACTGTAGCCTACAGAATATTGTATGATATAATTCCATGGAATACAATTTTCCAGAGGCTATCAGATTTTGTAAAAAGGTAACAAAGATAGATATCAAATAATTAAACTAAAATGGTTTTAGAATTAAGCGAGGGTGATGTACATTACTGATGTTTCCATTGAGGATGGTATTCACATGCATCCAGTTATTAGGGCTACATATTTTTTAACATAATTTATAATTATTAAGAATCTGAGGACCGGTTGACAGAAAATAATGAATGTGTTACTCTTACTCAGATTTACTTGAATAATGGAATTCTTATCAGTGTGGACTCGTTAGTCTGATGTTACGCATTCAGATATATCAGATGCATACGCACAGCCAAGCATGACTACTTGTATTATATGTAAATTGCTTTGAAGTTAAACATATTACACATAGAAGTTATATGTGATCAGAACTAAATACACTTAGCGTTATATATGTTAGAACACTTGGTTGTTAGTGAGAAATGTTAAGAGTATATGTATATAAAAAAATATATATAGGGTTGCAGCATATGAATTATTTGACTAACCAAGAGGAAGTACTCAGATTTATAATTTATAATTTTTATTGCATGTCTTGAAAAAAAAATTCCTCTCTTTCTCTCTCCTACACACACACACACACAGTAAATAGGTTCAACACCTATATAGTACATATACATGGTACTGCTGGTGTACAGATGTAAACTCCAGTCAAATCAGTTAATGTCACTTGATATTACCTGTGGTTGACATAACATAACACTTCTATAGAATATAAGGTGAAGTTAGTTCAAAGGCAGCATTGTGTGACCTGTAGTCTAGGTGTGGTCTGGGAGAGGGTGTGGTCTTATATACACTGTACTCTTACAGTGATACGATAAACTTACGGAAAGTAAGGCCACTTTCAGAACAGTGGAATTATTAGTTTGAGGGTCAAATATATCCGACCCACTTGAATACTTACCTACGGGGAATCTATTCAGTGTCTATTAGCAGATAAGACGACAAGCTTTTTAGTGGGTCGCCATATTGGACCCACGGACTAGTTAGTCCACTGTTCTGAATGCGGTCTAATTCTATTTACTGAGTCAGAAGTTATCATTGAAGATCTGGCTCAATTACGGTCATTTCTTTGGTCAGTGTGTGTAATCTTTGGTCAGATTGTCATCAGTGCCGCATGGTCGGTAATGCTTGTATTAGTGCCAGCACGCGACGTGGAGAAAGTTTTAATGTCAAAGTCAGACACCATGCAGTTGACATGCTACGTACTATTATTCCACCCACAAATTAGAAAATTTGTTTTATGTTAAGTCTGATGGTATCAGTGGGTTATATACTCAGAGAGAAACTTTTACATAGACAATCATCCAAATTTCAGACATGATTTTGCTTTTGCTCAGATCGTTTAAAAACCTTTTAGAGTGTTTAGTTTTTTTCACACCAAAGTAGACTGAGATGACTCGGGTTTGTAACTCAGCTGATTGTGGTGATTTTGGAAGAAAAACACTTACTTAAGTAGTCACAAGACCTAAGTTTGTACATTATCCTACAATCATGTTGCTCTTAATATTCTCTCTGTTGTTCAGCCATTTTATTAAAAGGAGACCAATTAGATTAGTCTAAGACTACACTATAAAGATACCAGCACTCATAACTATTACCTTAAAGGCATTCTTTTTAAAATCATAAGTAAGGACTTTTTTCTTTTAATTTTTTTTGGGGGGAGGGGAAAATTCAGTTTGATGGTATATGTTCTAACCATGGCCCTTACTAGTTTTTAAAAAGAATTTATTGACAAAAGCTTATAAAGAAGTGACACAGAAAAACAACACTTTCAAAGTACACAGAAGATATTTGACTGGGATTGAAATACAGGGACTACATGAAACACATAGGAAATTCATTCTGTGTCACTTTGCTTTTTCTTTGATATGTTAAATTTGGTACATGCTTCAAATTATTATGTAAGGCTAATAGCTGTCTAAGCACAGACTGCTGTAGATCTCAGCTGAATAAAGTCTGCTTACTTGTGGGTTCTAAAAGGAATACATTGTATTTCATAATATTTTTTAAAAGATGCTTCATTTTCGACATTTTTTGGGGTCGTGTATTTAATTCATTTTGCTTTTCTCTTAAAAGAAAAGCTGCGGAAGCATATAAAATTCGATTCATTTTTTGCTTTGAAAAATGTGGCATATTTTTTTTTTCAAAGATCTGACATACGTAGTATTGTTTCAGTAAGAATCAAAAGAAAGCAACACAGTCCCTAGTGTTCCATGATTTATAGCACTTGATATAAGTCATAGATCAGTGTAGAACACCTTACAAGCAGATACTTGCGTCATGCAATTCACACAACTGTCACCAGTTTGCTGGGGTTGGGGATGTCACTCTAAGAGCGCATTCTCAACGAATTAAGCCAGGCTTTACAAAGCCGATGACCTAAAAATGGTGGACGTACATGAAAGAAAAACCGCCTAATCTTTTAATAGTCTCTCCGCCTCCCCACACGTCGTCCCTGCGGGGTACAGTAATTAAATCTCGGCTCCGTTCGCCATGCGGAAGCTACCTGAGAAATATTAAGTGCGCATGCTCATCAGTTAAACTCGTGGTGAAGAAAGCATGGCGGCTGAAGGCGATCGAAGGAAAAAAGCTCTTCTGTTCTATTATCTTTGAAAACAGAGACGAAAAAGGAATAATTTGGCCCGTAGAGCAGCAATGAATCGACTATCTACGGAGATAATATCACCAGAGATATTCACGGAAATATTAATGTTCGGAGCCGAGATTTAATTA